TACAAAACACTGTAACTTGTATTTAAAACGAGCCGAATTAAAATGAAATGAAATAAAATAAAAAACAAAAAAAAAAAAAGAAAAAAGAAAAAAGAGAAAAACAGAGAGAAAAAAGAAGAAAAGAAATAAAATAGAAGAAGTAATATCTATCTAAAAAAAAAAAGTATCAAGGAAGAAAGAGAAAAGAAAAGAAAAAAAAAAAAGAAAAAATAAAAGAAATAGGGAAAGAAGAAGAAGTAGAAGAAGAAAAAACAAAGAGAGTTGTAAGAGGTTGTGGTGGAGGTTGGGTGATGGTGATGGTGGTGGTGTAGTATAGCGTTCGATAAAAAAAGGAAAAAGAAACAGAGAAGTAAAAGATGAAGAGAAAAGCCGAAAGAAAGAAAGAGAGAGAGAGAGAGAGAGAGAGAGAGAGAGAAAAGAAAAAAAGGGGGTGGGGGAAAAAAATTACGAAATAAAGAAAGTAAATAAGTAAGTAAATAAATAAGTAAATAAGTGAGTAAATAAGTGAGCGAGTAAGTAAGAAAGAAAGAAAGAAAGAAAAAAAAAAAAAGAAAGAGAGAGAGAGAGAAATATCGAGCTCGTTGAGAAGAAGGTGCAGGTGCAGAAGGTCCGATCGTCTTCCGGCAATTCTTATCACACTTTGGCCGAGTGCGTGTTGCGGTTCCGGTGAGGAGCGGCGGTAGGTCCGCCATAAAGGAAGGCTCGGTGCGCTAAGCGACTAGACCGAATGGATGCTAAGCAAGCTGTAGTACCCGATCGCTTCCTTGCATACGAAGCAGTCTTAGCGACCGGAAGTGCGTCACGTCGCAATATAGTATCTAGATGCCATGAGCCGTGAGCTCTTGACGCAGTTGTCAAGCCGCGTATAGCCTTGCCTTTACCGTGACGGTGAGCAGGGATCGAGGGGTCGGGGATTGGATTGGTAGAGAGAGAGAGAGAGAGAGAGAGAGAGAGAGAGAGAGAGAGAGAGAGAGAGAGAGAGAGAGAGGAGGGGAGAATTCGACTGATAGATACGTGACTGAGAACTCATACTCGACTTACTTACTTACATACTTACATACATAGTTTAGTGGCCTTATCGTGATTTTCAATATCATAGAAATTCTACACTAATTATTTATTTTCTATATCTTGTTATTGTTTTTCTTCTTCTTCTTCTTCTTCTTTTCTTTTTTGTATTTCTTCCTTCCTTTCTTTCTTTCTTTTTTGCTCTCTCTCTCTCTCTCTCTCTTCTTTTTTCTTTTTTCAAAATTTTTGTTTCATTTCATTTCGTTCTCTTCTTTTGCAATTAATTATTATACTTTCAACGCGTATCATTAAAAAGATATAGAATTAATTATTTATTCATATATGTAGAATGTAATGCGTATGTACGTAAGTACATATCGTACATACTCGTCTCTTATCGTACTTTCGATATCATTGAAATCTTAGTTGAATTATATTCGTTAAGTTTCTTTGTTACGATATCTTTCTCCATCTCTTTCTCTCTCTCTCTCTCTCTCTCTCTCTCTTTTCTTTTCTTTTTTTTGTCTTTGTCTCTTTTTTCTTTTTTTTTTTTTGGTTTTTCGTACGTTCATATTTCGAAAACGATCGTGATCGTTTTTATTAATTGCAACTTTATCGAAACGATTATATATATATATATATATATATATATATATATATATATATATGGGTTATAAATATATACATTGAACGTTTCACGATCTAATCTTCTAAGCTTTCTGTGTCATTTCTCTAAATGGATTCCTGATCGATAGATTCCAGAAATCGATACTGAATTCTTCGTTCCTTCTACTTTTTTTTATTTTTTTATTTTTTTTTTTTTATATGAATTAAAACGATGAATATTCTCGAATCTCTTGGAATCTTTACCATTGATCTTGTAAATTCAAATCGATACCGATCGTAGAAATAGTTTTGCATTATTCGTTACACCATATCAATTCAATTGCAAATGCAATTGAAAATTTTGAAATTCTAGTAAAACATTTTATCCGACGGCACTTGATAATATAATCATATAAACTTATACTATTGCTTTACTATTAAATTTCTAATCGAACGATTGCAAGAAAAATCGATTAGGCGAATATTTAATTTCTTTATTACATTGTTTATAATTGAATTAGAACGTAGACGTTATTAATTATTTCAAAATACATTACGCGTCAACGATAAATAAATAGAATAGTTTCACGATCTAATTCTCTAAGCTTTAAGTTAGCCATTTCTTCCAATGAGATACAGAATCGATCGATTCTAGAAATTGATTTTGATTTTTTGCATTCTTCGTTTAGATACTCTTTTTTTTCTTCTTTTTTATTTTTTTTTCTTTTTTTTTTTTTTTTTTTATTACGTTGAAAAGAAAGAACGAAATTTTCTCGGACTATTTGAAATATTATCTTTTCAAAGACATAGAACATCTCTCACGATTTAATCTTCTAAGCATTATCACGTTTTTGCAATAAGATTCTAATCAATATCGATTGTGAAAATCGATATTGAATTTCTCTCATTCCTTGATTTACTTCAACGTTAAATTGGAACGATGAGAGTATTTCGAATTCGTTGTTTCGTAAGAAACTTTATCTACCGAAGATATCTGATATTACACGATCTAATCTTGTAAACATTCCATTAGTTTTATAAATAATCAGATCGTAGAAATTGATTCGGAATTTTTTCTTTTTTCATACGCACGCACATATATATATATATATATATTTCTTTTTTTCTTTTTTTTTTATATGTGTATATATATATATAAAATTAAAATGAAAATTTTAAAAAGCTTTTATCCCGATGTAAAATATATTTTTTATATCTCGCGATTTGATATCGTAAATATTACGTTGCTTCTGTAACAAAATTTAATTACATTTTCACGTTAAATTTGACCTACGAAACATTCAATCCCGTCGGAAATTTTATCAATCAAAAATATTCAATAATTTGATTTTCTTTGAAACAATTAAGTTTATAATAATAAAAATTGAAATCAATCGATTGATTAAATCGATTCTAATCATGTATATATATATATATATATATATATATATAAATAATCTTGCGTTACGATATTGAATTAAAATGATGATATTGTTAAATAATAATTATTTCGTCAGAAACATTATATACACAATTCAAAATTATCCGACAATATAAAAAAATAATCAGATAAATATTACAACGCTTTTATGACGCGATTCAAATCAATCCATCATACGGTCAAAATATTGTAAAAATATAATACTTTATGAGAATATTCTAATGTGATCTAGATGAATAATGAACGTATGTAATAATAAAACTAATGAGTATGAGAATAATGAATTACATAGACGTACAATATAATAAGAAAAAAAAAAAAAACAAACAAATATTCGTCTATATATAAAGTATATATTGATAAAACATAAATAATTATAGATATGTATATATATATATATATATATATATATACACATACACATTGTTATCAAACGCGATTAATATTTCATTATACACAAATCATGTTTTTCTTTTCTTTTTTTTTTTCTTTTTTTTCTCTTTTTTTTTTTTTTTTTTTTTTTTAAACAGTAATTAGATAAATCGTATCGACCTATCTAATTCTTTATGTTATTTATCGAGAGAGTATTTTTTAAAATACTTTTTAATCGGTACTTTAAATATACGCACGATATTTATAATAAAGTATTAAAAAAATATAATAGTTCAACATTATTACATCGATTAATATAAAATCATCAAGTTTATTTATAATTGAAATATTACTTAACGCAATGTTTTATCTCGATATATTATAAATAGACATGATCTATATTTATATTTATAACAAGTCATGAAACTTAATTAATAACGATTCGATCATTTCCCATCGATATTTTCCATTAGCAATAACGATTATATTTATTTAACAAAATGCTATTCGTTCGTTTATTAATTAAACGTATCTATCGTATAAATAACAAATAGTTAAGAAAAAGAAAAAAAAAAAAAAGAAGGAACAAGAAAAAAAATAATTCTTAAATTCGATTACGTACAAAATATCTACAAATTCTTTTTTATAATCTCTTTTAAATTGTCCAAACTAATTTGCAATTTCGTTGCTTGGGAGAGAAAGAAGTGGCGGGAAAAGGGGGTGGAGGGGGGGGGGGGTGAAGAAAAACAAAAAAAAAAAAAAAAAGAAGAAGACGAAAAATTCCAAAGAAAAGAGAAAAGAAAAAGGAAGGAAGGAAGAAGGAAAGAAGGAAGACGGTGGCAAGGAAAGAGAGAGAAAAGAAAGAAAAAGAAAGAAAGAAAAAAAGAAAAAAAGAATTTCTCGTAACGAAACCGTGTTAATCCGTAGTATGTAAATTCGATGAGAAATTATTATCAACAAACGAAGACCTTTCACCGGTCGAGTCGTTGTGACACTCGTTGACCGATTCGAGAACGAAGCCTCGAGGAAAAGACGGCTGAGGCGACAGTCTCGGGTCAACTCAAGGCTAATTTATTAGAATGTTTATGTATTCACGGAGAAAAAGAGAGAGAGACAGAAAGAGAGACAGAGAGAGAGAGAGAGAGAAAGAAGCTTATCTAACCAGGCGCTAACACAGCGTCCACGAATGAAGAACGCAAAGAGAATAAGAGAATCGTGTATGTCCCCCTTCTTGCCTCCCGACCTACCCACCCATCCATCCATCCACCCACCCACCCGCCTGCCTGCCTGCCTGCCTGCCTGCTTGCTTGCCTGCCTGCCTGCTTGCTTGCTTGCTTGCTTGCTTGCTTGCTTGCTTGCCAGCCTGCTTGCCTGCCTGCCTCTCCTTATTTCCCTCTTTGTCTATCAATTTCCAATTGTATGAATAACGACATTTTATGATAAGACTTTTCTTTTCTTTTTCTTTTTTTCCATTCCTTTTCTTTTTTTTCTTTTTTTTTCTTTTTTTTTTTTTTTTTAATTTTTATATCGATAAATTCGTCGATAATTGTGCACATATAAGTTAGTTACTTACCCGTTAAATGGATAACTCGCGAATGCGGCATCGTAGGGATGATAGACCGAGGGATAGGGCCATGCTGCCGCTGCACCTGCACCAAGATTTTCCTTCAAATCGAGTCCAGCGGCCTGGAAACAAATGATAATTCGTATTAATTTGATCTTGAATATTTTCTTTTTTTTTCCTCTTCGTTGTTATTTTTTCTTTCTTATTTTTTTTCTTCTTCTTCTTCTTCTTCTTCTTCTTTTATGTTTTCTTTTTTTTTTCCTTTTTTTTTTTTTTTTTTATTTTCTTCTTCTTTCCTTCATTTCTCGCCAAGCATAAAAAAAATAATACTCTCGTGAGATCTTAATACTTTCATAAAGTGTGCCCTAATTGTATTTATTTTGATATTTCAAAATTATAGAGAAGCAAAAAGGGAATATGGATTTTTTATTTCTATTGTCATTGTTATCTCCAATTGAAATAAGAACGAGACAAACGTGTAAACGGATACACGATAATGTAAGAGATAATGTAATAACTGTTTCTTACATTTATTATGAAATATATTAATTTACGAATATTTGGGTTAAATGTTTTTCGAGTGATATTTAAAAAGAATCTAATTAATCATTTTCCATGATGATTCATTATGCTTGCCAGTTTTTATGATATGTTGGGAAAAAAAAAAAAAGAAAAAGAAAAAGAAAAAGAATAATTAGCCTAATGCATTTTTGAATAGGAGTAATTGATTATTAAAAGGAAAGAAAAGAAAAGAAAAAAAAAAAAAAAAAAAAGAAAAAGAAAAAAAGAAAGATCGTTAAATTCATTTGTCGAAAATTTTTCTTATAAATTATAATAAAATTAATAAATCAATTGTCTACAATCATTTAGAAATTAATAGATATTTTTAATTCATTCATTTTAAAATCAAATTAATTTGATTACAAAACAAAATTTTCTCTGTTTTTTTTTTTCTTTTTTCTTCTTTTTTGTTTTTGTTTTTGTTTTTTTTCTATTTTCGTTTAGCATTTCTTTTTGCCATCTAAATATAGATAGTAATTTACATTCACCGATTAGAAGTCTACTAGGTTAAAACGTATTAGAAACGATAAATAAGTCATGAGCGGGGATCGACTTTTAAAGATCTTAATAGAAGATAGATGAAGAAAGAAGAAAGAAGAAAGAAGAAAGAAGGAAGAAGAAGAGAAAAAAAAGAAAAGGAAAAAGAAATATATAAAAAAAAAAGAAAAAAAAAAAGAAAAAAGAAAAAAGAAAAGAAAAAAGAGAAATAATCACACGATCGAGAGTTAGATCTTTTAGAGTTTATCGTCAATGGTGCGTGAAAATTTTCTTCAAACGACTTAAATGCCGCTGGACTGGACAAGTTAACGGTATATAAACGAGGTATTATCGTCATTGAGGACCGGCAATGACGTTAATGCGACCAGAAAACGTATAAGACGAGAAGGAAGAAGAAGAAGAAGATGAAGAAGAAGAAGAAGAAGAAGAGGAAGAGGAATAAGAGGAATAAGAAGAACTAAGTAGAAGTAGAAGATCGAAGTTTCATGCATCCGAGTTAGTCGCCGACTAGAGGTTATCAGACCACACACACGCACACACAGGGCGTCTCAACCAAGAAAATAGCCTTAACCACAAGCGTAAATTTATGAATTCGTGTTGCTACGACAGTGGGAACACTGTGTCGTGTTTCGAGCCGTCGCTCGGGAGAGTGCTCGCCTTTATCGTTTCTTCTTTATGATCGAGCTTAAAGGACATTACACACAGCGTCTTCCACGCACACCGTTTCTCTATTATATCGTAACGACATGAATATTACGACAGGAACTTGCTGAATCCAATATACCGTTGTACACGAACACAATAAAAAGTAAATCCTATACGGCGATCATCCCGTACAGATTTTTTTTTTCTTCCTTTTCTTTTTCTTTTTTTTTTTTTTGTTATTTTCTCTCTCTCTCTCTCTCTCTCTCACTCTTTTATTCTTCTCCTTTCGTTTCTTCTCTCTTTTTTTTCTTTTCCTTTCTTTTCTTTTGTCTTTTTTTTTTTTTTTGATTTTTCTATTGATATTAGAGAATCAGAAGGATTTGTTTTATGTTAAAGAATTTTAAGAAATACTTCTTCGAGCACTTTTTAACACTTTCGTGCGTAACGTAAATTCGATTTGAAATTTTTTCTTTATTTTTTTTTTTTTTTTTTTTTTTTCTTTTAATCGTAACAATGTATAAACTATATTCGTTATATAAAATTTCAAGTAAAATCGATTCAACGATTTCGACTGAGGCAAGCATAAACGTTATAGGTTTTGAATATCTCGAAGTAGTTTCAAAGATAATCATCTGTTACAGACCGGTGCGTTGAAGAAATGTGATAAGAAATTCAGATACAAGCAAATACAAATATTTCGAATATATCTCAAGTATCGGATCGTTCAGAAAGTTTCTGCGGAAGTTATAGAGTCGCGTACGGTTACGGTATGTATATGTATACATATATATATATATATATATATATATATATATGTATATATGTATGCATGGTATATCCATAAAAATTTGTTCCAACATTATCTTTTTCTTTTTCTACGCGTACATATATATATATGAAAGAAAGCGAACGATCGGATCGTCGTGAATATTTTGTCGTCGTTTAAATTTTATTGAAAGAGAAAAGTAAAAAAAAAAAAAAAAAAAAAAGAAGAAAAAAAAAAGAAAAGAAAAGAAGAGAAAACTGGCGTGGCGCACGAACTTAACGAAGAAAAAGAACGATGAACATCGTCGGGACGAATGATGATTCGTAAAGTTTTTATGGAGAAAAGAAAAAAAATACAAAAAACAAAAAAAAAGAGAGAGAGAGAGTGAGAGAGAAGAAACACGGTGGAGGGGCCTTGGGGAAGGGGAAAGAGAAAGAGAGAGAGAGAGAAGACGGGGGGAGAGAAAAACCAGAAAGAAATCAAAAGCGAACGAAGAAATAAAAAAAGAAAAAAAAAGAAAGAAAAAAAGAAAAAAAAAAGAAAAAGGAAAAAAAGAAAAAGTTACTTACGGTAGGCGTGTAGAATGGTGCCTGTTCAGCGCCAAGACTTGGAAAATAAGCAGCCATGCCCTCGGAAGCGGCAGCGGCTGCCGCGGCAGCGTAAGGCGCGCTATACATCGATAGGGCCGCAGTTGGTAATGCTCCGAGTCTTTGATAACCACCAAGTAGCTCGTACTGACAGGAACAGACAGTTTGCCCGGTGAGGGGGTCCGTGAAGATGGGCCTGCCGGTGTCGCAGCACCTAGCGGCTGTTGGGCCTGCCGTCGTTGGCGGTGGATGACCTTGAGACGGACTCACCGAGGCTGTTGGACTCCCCGGTGGCCGTACAACCGCGCTCGTCACCGCCATCCTTGCGTTCGACAGACCACCGGCCCCGCCACCGGGCACGGCACCCACCACGCCAAGAGGATGATTCGTCGTCCCTCCGCCGGACGCCGCACTCACCAAAGAGGAACTTCCTGCGCTCAGGTGAACGCCTGACGATGGTGAGCCCGACGACGACGCTAACGACGAGTTTATTGTCACAGGACACTGGAACATAAAACGATTTCATAAATTCATTTCCTTCTTTTCCACTTTTTCTTCCACTTTTTCTTCCTTTTCTTTTTCTTTTTTGTTTTTTTCTTTCTTTCTTTCTTTCTTTCTTACTCTTTGCTTCTTTTCCTTTGTCTTTCTTTCTTTTTTCTTTTTCTTTTTCTTTTTTTTTTCTTTCTTTTTTTCTTGTAAGATCCACGTACGCCATAGATCGGATCTATTTTTTCTTTTTTTTTCTTGTTGTTTTTCTTTTTTTTACAAGCGCAAAGAATTTGTATTATTTTCTTTTTTTTTAACGATCAACGCGCACGCGTAATTCTATGTATTATTATTTTACGAATATGATGATATTGTCTCTCTCTCTCTCTCTCTCTCTCTCTCTCTCTCTCTCTCTCTCTCTTTCTTTCTCTTTCTCTTTCGCTTTCCATCTCTCTCTCTCTCTCTCTCTTGCTGTCTTAGTTTTCTAATCTCAATATTGCGACACAGTACTAAGTCATAGGACATTGCAACAGACCATGAATCCATATTTCTTTATTTCTTTACATCTTTATTAAAATCCAAAGATTTATCCATTCAACTATACTTTTAAAACGTGTATAATGAATATTGATTATATATATATATATTTTCTAACGAATAGTTTCTTTCATTATTATTATGAGAAGATTAAAAAGAAGATGTAATACAATTTATACTCAATCAAGAAATTCGTCTCTTTCATTTTTCTAATCTGAATATTGTGACACGATAGAAAGAGAGAAAAAGAGAAAGAAATATATATATATATATATATATATATATATATACAGAGAGAGAGAGAGAGAGAGAGAGAGAGAGAGAAATAAAGATTGTCATAGGGCATTGCAATAATGCATAAATATATCTCTTTCACTTTTTTATCTTTCTCTCTAAAAATTTATCAATGCTACCGTAACTCCAAAAATTATTAGAAATTCTTATTTAATTGTTTGCTTTTCATAATCGAACACAAAATTATTTATTATTATTATTATTATTATTATTATTATTATTATTATTATTATTATTATTATTATTATTATTATTATTACTATTATTATTATAATAAAAAGTGTAAAAACTAGATGGAAATTTAGAGTCGATAAAGTAATGTTGTCTCTCACTTTTCTAATCTCTACGTCGCCAGCAAAGTGTAAAAAAAGATAGAAAGAGAGAGACAGAGAGAAAGAGAGAGAGAGAGAGAGAGAGAGAGAAAGAAACTTACAAAACTGTCATAGGATACTGCAATGGAATATGACTCCACTTCCCTTATTTCTTTATATAAACTAAAAGATTTTATATTTATACTTGACTTATACAAACTTTATATTAATCGTATCTATCGTTTTCAAACGAAACATAAATATTTCTTTTATCGTTATATTACGAGAACAATAAGAAATAGATTGGATGTAAAATTTAACGATATCGATTAAAAACTTTTCACACTCGTGATGATTTCTATGCTCGACGTTAGAACGAAGTACATACACAAGAAGAAAAAAAAAAAAAAAAGAAGAAAAAAAAAAAAAGAAAAAAAGATAGATTAGGAGATATTAAAACGAACAAATAAATAATTGACTTAAAAGGAAGCGAATAACAATCGCTTCCTTTTAAATGTTTTAATGAAAAATCCGAAGGATATATTAATTTACATAACTATAAATTCTAAAAATGAAATCAAGGTGATAATAACAATAATCTGAAAATATTCATTTCAATTATTTTCTAACGAACTAAAAAACGTTTCTTCTTCTTCTTCTTCTTCTTCTTCTTTCTTTATTTATTTATTTATTATTATTATTACTATTATTACTATTATAATTATTATTATTATTATTATTATTATTATTATTATTATTGTTATTATTATTATTATTATTATTATTATTATTATTATTATTATTAGTATTATACGAAAAGAACGAGAAACAGACTGAATTCTAAAGTTGATAAAGAAATCTTCTCTCTTGGTAGCGCTTCTAAGCTTGACGTCACAACAAAATAGTACATAGAGAGAGAGAGAGAGAGAGAGAGAGAGAAGATATTTGCGAGCGTCAACTTATTCAAAGTTTACTCTCAAGAGTGCTACCGTACTCCGTCGCAGCGGGATTTTGCTGACAGTGTCGCATTCTGATGCGCTGTTACGCGGCACGTCTCTCGAAAAAAGAAAGAAAGAGACAGAACGAGAGAGAACGAGAGAGAACGAGAGAGAACGAGAGAGAACGAGAGAGAGAGAGAGAGAGAGAGAACGAAAAAGAACGAGAAAGAACGAGAGAGAATGAGAGAGAGAGAGAGAGAGAGAAACAAAAAAAGAAAAATAGAAGAAGAAAGAGAAAGAGAGAAAGAGAGAGAGAGAGAGAGAGAGAGAAGAAGCAACATGACACCAGCACTTGACCGTATCGTCACCTTCATCGTCGTCAATGTCGTCACCGTCATCACCGTCGTCACCGTCATCGTCATTGTCGCAACATCTCACCACACAACATTCACCTCTACTACTATTAACTATTCCTCTTTCCGTAACTATACAAATAAGAACTTTTCTCTCTTTTTCTCTTTCTTTCTCTTCTATCCTCTCTCCCCCCCTCCTCCTCCTCATCCTCGCCTCCCCTTCCTCCTCGCCCACCTCATCCCTTAAAATATCTCTCAACGAAGTTACCCTATAACAGCTGCGTTTACTTCGTGTCCTTTTATCCAACACCTTTCTCGATCAAGAGAAACAATCGTTTTAGGATCAACACTAAAATCGGACACGACTGAATTGTGCTTACCTCTCTCTCTCTCTCTCTCTCTCTACCCCCCCTCACCCTCCTTCCCAATCCTACCAATGTGTGCCTTATACCCCCTTTACCCCCCCCCCAACCATCTCCTTTAACCCCGGAAACCTTATTATGCCCTTTTCCTTTTTTCTTCCTCGTAACTTCAAAAGGTAAACTGAAAAATCTGTGACAGTCCAAGGAGGGAGGAAGTAAAGTGGGGTTCATAAGGTAATATAGCATAGTATACGAGTAGGGAGAACGGTATGTAATTCTCTCTCTCTCTCTCTCTCTCTCTCTCTTTTCCTCCCTCCCCTCAGCCCCCCATCATTAATTCCATATCAAACACTACGGCTAAATAGATTAGCGGCTTGAGTGCCTTTCGCGCCATGGGCCTAAACAAACTCCGCCCTAACCCCTATCCCTATGTATATATATATATATATATCCCTACCTCATAATCCCCCCCCCCTCCCAACCTCTTCTTCTTCTTTTTCTTCTTCTAATGATACAGGCGTTTTGAACCACGTACCAACCCCATATAAAGAGATAGATACAGATAGAAAAAGAGATAGAGATAGAGAGAGAGAGAGAGAGAGAGAGAGAGAGAGAGAGATAGTTAGAGTGCAGTAAGCGAGTTATAGCAACCCTCTCGATCGATCCATCCATCCGTTGTCCGTTGTTCATCCATCCGTTGCCACGTTTTGCTATGGCCCCAAAACATATTGTCGAAACTTCGCTAGGGTATTGTATTGAAGAGCAAAGAGGGGTGGAATGGGGTGGGATAGGATCGGTGGGATTGAAGCGGCAGCGAGAGGGGAAGTGAGGATACAGGAGGGGGGGACCAGCGGTGGGTTAGGAGGGTGTCGAAAAACGTGAGCCATCGTCCTCCACGCATTATGGCTATCGAGAGATGTAGTATAGCGTTAATGCGTGTCGTTCCTGGCAACGTAGCCACGATGTATCCACTGCTCGCCCAACTGTCGCACATTCCACGATTTATGAACGTGCATGTTAACTTCTCGTACGAATCGTTTCGATCTAGATCATCTTTGTTACTCCTCGATTAATATTTCGAGATCGTTTGGTTATTATTCTGCGTATATTGTTTGGTTATTTTTATTATTATTTTATGCGCGTGTGTGTGCGTATGTTTTTTCTTTTATTATATACCTGTTATATTTATACAGTATTTATTTATTTAATTATTTATTGATTGATTGATTGATTGATTGATTGATTCATTCATTCATTCATTCATTCATTCATTCATTCATTCATTCATTCATTCATTCATTCATTCATTCATTCATTCATTCATTTATTTATTTATTTATTTATTTATTTATTTATTTCAGAATTTTTTAACATTTAGATCAGTGTTTTAAATAAATCGTATCATTGTTATTTATTATTGAATATTAATACGTAACATGAGACGCAAATAGTGACGCAATCAAGAATGACAATTAATTCATAAAATTATTTGTTTTATATTTGTAGTTCATTTTATTTAAATGTAATCACATTTAATTGATTAAAACTTATAGTTTTCATAAAATCATCTTATTCCCTCTATTATCATGTCAATCTTTGAAAATTAATATTATCCTGACTATGTATACTTTTATAATTTAATTTTTTATTTTTTTTACTTTGTCGGATAAATGAATTGAAAAATTAATCGTCATAGGAAATCATAGATTTCTTTTTCTTTTCTTTTTTTTTTTGCGACAAATTTGTTACTAAAAGTGTCTATACACAAGATATATATTTCTATATAATTAATATACAACAATATATAATACATATACACACATTGATATATTAAACTCTAATTCGAAATGGATTGATCTAAAAGGGGAAGAAAAAAAGATAAAAATAAAAAAAAAAAGAAAAAAAAGAAAAATCATAAGATAACGAAGAAACAAGCTTTACGAAAGTAACACTATATAATTCTATATTTGACTTCGACATATTGAAAATTCTTAATGATATTAAAAATCATTGTTCGTTCTAATTCACGACAGACATTTGTCAATTTTCAATTCTTCTCAAAGCTATCGCCATATAATGTATGGCTATCGCCATAAAAGTATTAAGGGGATTGTCGAAAACGAAAACAAAAAAAAAAGGAATAAAGAAATAAAAAAGAAAAAAAAAAAAAAGAGAAAAAAAAAGATGAAGAAAAATTTGAAAAAGTAGGTAAGACAAATATAA